AATTAATGCTAGACAGAGATATAACAGTGTAGCTGTGTTTCAAATTTTGAAACAAATATATATAATCCGGTCAAGATTTCAAAAAGCGATAATGCGCGATTATACTACGCTGCGTTCGGAGAAAAGTACTCAAGCCACATTTTATAATTGTGCTGTTTTGCATGTTCAAAACATTTCGTTTATCTAATTGGCCAAATACGCTTTTGATCCGGAAACCTTATTTTTTTCAACATACGGTACGATAAATGAACATCAGTGAATCGCATTGAAAGAAAGAGCAACAAGTTTATTAATTAAAAGTTTATTAATCAAACTAACAAGTTTATTAATTAAAAGCAAAAATCGAATGAATTCTCAGATAAAATTAAATTTGATCATGATAATAATAATAATAATAATAATAATAATAATAATAATAATAATAATGGAAACTTTTTATTAGATATTTACGATATACTATATATACATTGATAAACCTCACTTAATAAAAGGTAGCTTATCGATGTCCACTTGAATTGAATATAAAGCTAAAATATATATACAGGTGAAAATCTTTTAAATTTAGTTAAAAGTTTAAAAGTTCCGGGTTGTTCCAGTCTTTGTTTCGTCTACAGAATATATAATAAGACGTGCGAATACAAGTAGCAATTATTTTCTTTTTTACATATTTAATGCATTGTTCGTCGTACTTCAGATCATGGAGCATATCAAATAAAGTATTCGTCGATTGACCAAATACACCTAAAGAGCTTATAGATACATTAACAAACTTAACTTCATCATATATATTTTGTTGATCGGTAATTAGAGTCAAATATTTTTCATGTTTTCGATCTGAAAATAATGATAATAATAATAATCATAATCATAATCATAATCATAATCATAATCATAATCATAATAATAATAATAATAATAATAATAATAATAATAATAATAATAATAATAATAATAATAATAATAATAATAATAATAATAATAATAATGGAAACTTTTTATTAGATATTTACGATATACTATATATACATTCATAAACCTCACTTGAGTTGAGTTCAGTAAAGCTAAAATATATATACAGGTGAAAATCTTTTAAATTTAGTTAAAAGTTTAAAAGTTGTGGGTTGTTCCAATCTTTATTTCGTCTACAGAATATATAATACGACGTGCGAATACAGGTAGCAATTATTTTCTTTTTTACATATTTAATACACTGTTCGTCGTACTTCAGATCATGGAGCATATCAAATAAAGTATTCGTCGATTCACCAAATACACCTAAAGAGCTTATAGATACATTAACAAACTTAACTTCATCATATATAATTATTTTCTTGATCGGTAATTAGAGTCAAATATTTTTCATGTTTTTGATCTGAGTTTCATGTTTTTGAGTTAGTTTTCAGGTTTGTTTCGAATCCAACAGTTATTTCAAGAATGTACAAGATCTTATTTTCAATTGTCAATAGAAGGTCTGGTCGTAACTCGTCACCAGTGATGACAGATGGGCTAATAAATCCAGACAGATCTACATACATTTTGGAGATCTACATACATTCAAAACTGAATCATGTCGCCATGTATATCTCCCTTCGTTTAGATATGTCTTATATCCAGAGATTATGTGCAAAAGCGATTCACGGCAGAAGCAGAACGAACAGTTAGCAGATGATGACAGTCCCCATTTAACTAGGTTTTTCCTAGTAGGCAAAGAATTGTTGATGTAACGTAGACCGAAGTTAAATATGTTTTTAGGAAGTTTTGAATGAACCGATGACCATAGGGAATTGAATGCCAACGTGGAGTTCTTCACGATGTTTGAAAAAAAAGAACCTTGTGAAATTAGGTTATTTTGTAGTCGCTGTTCGTTTTTTTGTCTAAATGCCTTCAATACATCTTTTGTGTTTGAGTAAATGTCGTACTGAATGTTCCTATTGGTGCTTGTTATTGACCATAATTCACGTATGTTTTCATTTATCGATGACTTTAAAGCTGAGCGTGAGACAGTTTGGCACTGTATAAACTTCGTTGAAGGTAGAATGACATTTAAACCAAATTTGTTGTAAGGGAGATAGACATTGCTTAGAGTTGCAGATATTGGCAGTTCGAACCATTTTCGTATATATTTAGTAGCAATACCGTACAAAGTCTCGCAAACCCATGTTTGAGATATATCAGTTATTGTGAAGTCCCATGAGATTTTCGAGAGCAAGTAGCGACTGTATAGCAGGATTTTATTTCGGGGGTGCAAATGTAATTCATCTATTTTAGATATGATATTATTAAACAAGTCACATATATCCGATAATAGTAATAATAATAATAATAATAATGAAAACTGTATTAATAGAACATTTATAGATATATACAATTGTAAATCTCACTTCTTGAGGTAACCTACAATTGACTACTTGAATCACTTATACATGGTTATAGTTTTATATACAAAATTTTTAAATTATTTATAGAAATAGTTACTTTTAAATGTTCATTAGTTCGGGATTTGTCCATTCTTTATTTCTACAGCAAAATATGTAGTAGCTACGTTGATCGGATGGCAATAGATATCATTTTTCTGATACAATATTGTTGGTGTTGATTATCCAGTCCTAACTCATTTAGCATTTTTACAAATGTATGGCATTCTTTGTCAAACACCCCTAGCGAACTGACAGAAAGATTTATAAATTTAACAGATGTAAAGTTTTGATCTAGTTCTCTAATTAGGTTCTTATATTTAGCTTTCTTGCGGTTAACATTGTTTGTGAGGTTTGATTCAAAGCCTACGGTAAGTTCAACAACGTAGGTTTGTCTGAAGTGGAGACAAGTAAATCAGGACGATATTCATCACCCGTAATAATCGAGGGGCTTTCAAATCCAGGAAGATCAACAAGTAATTTGCATTCGTTTAAACTTTGAAAGGTTATTGCAAGAAACTTTAGTATGCAATCGTGTCTCCAAGTAATTTATCCAAGTAATGTTGACAACCGGCAACAACGTGCAAAAGTGATTCAGGGTGTAAGCAGAACGAGCAGTCAGAACTTGATGAAATTCCCCATCTACTGAGGTTCTTTCGGGTAGGAAGCGTATTATTCATATAGCGAATTGTAAAGTTGAAAATGTTCTTTGGTAGCTTTGATTGCGATACCGACCAGATTGCGTTAAGTTGTGATAGGGAGAATTTAGAAACATTTTCGAAAAAGGAACCTTGACATTTCAAACGGTCCCGAAGTTTATTTTGTTGTTGAGAATGGAAAGTTTTTAAAACTTCTTTAGTTGAATTGTAGCTATCGTATTGAATGTTAGTATGATTATTAGTTGACTTCCACAGTTCGTTAATTGAATCGTTTGGAGATGTTTTTAGGGCGTTGCGTAGAACTGTTTGACACTGAATGAACTTGACGGATGCAGGGATGATATTTAGACCAAACTTATTACGGGTTAGGAAGATGTTACTTAATGTTCCAGTTATAGGTACTTCCAGCCATTTTCGGACGTACTTGTTCACCGGAGAATCGATATTTTCGACTACCCAAGTTTTAGATATAGTCGCAACAGTAAAATGCCAGGATAGTTTCGACAAAACATAACGACTGTAAAGTAAAATTTTGTTTTTTTGGGTGAAGAGGTTTAAGATCTATTTCGGACATTAGTTCATTAATGAGGGAGATCAGTTTACATTTATGTTTTTCATTGGTCATGCTAAAGTCGAAGTGTCGTCCCAAATACTCAAATGATTCTCCAGTCTTAATCGTTGGTATGAGATCCTTATTGATCAAAAGCTTCGGCAAGTACTGGGCAGATTTTGATAAAACTTTTTTGATGCCAAATGTGCTACATTTATCAACCCTAACAACCATGTTGGACCATTGGCACCAGATAGAGAATCGATTAAGGAGATTTTGATTTTCCGACTCCTGACCAGTAATAACCGCAGCATCATCAGCAAACTGAAACCAGTGGATTGGATTAAGGAGTTGGAGGGAGAAACCGAACTGGCGGTACTTTTCAGCTTTGATATGTTGAATATATGTGTTGAAACACATATTAAATAGTAGAGGACTAATAATAATAATAATAATAATAATAATAATAATAATAATAATAATAATTTGCGTACTGGTGCATGAAATAATTAAACAGATAAAGAGACAGAGTTATAACCTTTCATGTGATTTAGAGTTCATTTATAGAGTTGCAGATTGGTACACATGTAAAAATTAGAAAGATGCAGATGAGATGTCGCCGTTTGTAATTCGCTTTCCAAGGCGAACACATGCAGGGAAATGTCAGCCAGATAACACTGAATCACAATTTTTTTTCGGCACGGGTCCGGTATGGTATGATGTTCTTGACTACCAATGAAAATTCATGGTTAAATGTTATGAGAACGTTATCTTATAACACGCACTCGAAATATTCAAACAATTTTCTTTGCCAGTTCCAACATATATAGTTGATTCATTGTAATAAATACAGTATGTACTGCATATAAATAGCGACTTTTCATGTATCACTTTTGTTGAATATTTCATGGTAAAAAATGAATTTTTTTTCCTGATTAATAAATAATAATCAAATTATGGAAAACGCAATACCTTCTCGCAAATCGTGCTATAAAATCTCTGGACTCAAGGACTTTCATGTAGACAATTAAGAGCAAAGAAGTGTCTCAAAAATTCCAAATCAGTATGGGCATAATCAACTTTGAGATGAAACCTCTTGTGTGATATTGGCCTTATTTACAAATTAAGACACGGTGTATATATGCCATTGACAGCTAGAGTGCAGACATGTCTTTTCAAGCTCTTCCAAATCATAAAATTACTACTAGCAATTCAACGGCTTTAATATATAATGCCACCAAAATCAAAAGCAAAAGCTCAAACTTCTGATAATAATGACGAACAAGATGAGTATATATTTTTGTCGACAGTTAAAGCATTAATGGCGCAGCAGGAAAGCGCCTTTAAATCCATGATTGATTCTTTGTTTAAAACAACCACAGCAAGAGTAGTCGGGATTGGTGAAAGATGTGGCTGAGTTAATATGCAGCCTAGAATATTCGCAAAAGGACATTGCCTGCCAGCAGAAAGACCTTGACAACAAACAAATTGAAATCCAGTCAATTACAAATGAATATAACGAATGTTAAAATGTCCCTCAACATTGAAGTATTGTGATAAAACTAGCAACCTAGAAAACCGAAGTAGACGAAGTAACCTTCGAATAATCGGGATTCCCAAGCAACCAAACGAATCGTGGGAACGATCATAAGCTTTGGTAAAGTCTGTTTTGAAGAATAAGCTTGGTCTGGCTACCGAACCACGTATCGAACGTGCACATTGTGTTGGCAAACCTGATAGCTCTTCAAGGAGCCTAGCAAGACCAATCGTATGCCGCTTATATGACTGGAAAGAAAAAAGACACATCCTTAAACAAGCCCGAGTACATAAACCGACTGGCCTTTTTGTGAACGAAGATGTCACCGAAGCCACAATGGCGAAACAACGTGAGCAAATACCGAGGTCGAGGCATGCAAAACAAGAGGAAAAGATCGCCTATTCCGTTCTGGACAAATTAGTAATAAAAGACAAACGATTTGGGAAAAACTGATCAGAACTTATTATAAAATAAGGTATAATATCCATCCTAAGTTATAAGAAGTATATGTCACGGACTATATAATACAACTATGGCTTCTACATGTGCAAACGGTTTACCCTTTAATGAACTATAGATGATGAAAGCTTTCTTTTGTCTATATTTATGAACTTCAAAATGGCCCGATTGTTTATGACGAGGAAAGGCTAAGCACACTATTTTTCAATCCTTTGTTATTAAACACTAAGCACCATCTTGCCTTAAATAATAATTTGGAGGCAGATGTAAATTTACTTGACGAACTAAATAATACTCCTCGTGAATATTATTTCGAGGAGCAATTTAATGAAATGTTTAGAAATGAATGTAAATTTGCTAATCCAGCATTTTTAACATTACATTTAAACATTCGAAGTATTTTACAAAATAGATCGCGATTTACTGACTGGTTATGTGGTCTAGGTATTAAGTTTTCCGTTATTGCTATTACTATTACCGAAACGTCTTTAAAAGAGCCTGATCATACGATTGGAATTCACGGTTACACCTTTATTCACAAACACAGAGAAAATAGAACAGGTGGTGGTGTTGGATTGTATTTATCAAATGAATTGCAGTTCAAGAGCAGAAATGATTTGCATTTTTCAGATTCAAATTCAATATGGTGATTAATTCTCAAGGGAAAAATTCTATTGTTGGAGTTATTTACAGACCATGCACGAGATCAAAATCTCAATACTTTTGTTCATGAATTTAATAGTTTAGCTGAAAAAATATCGAGAGAAAACAAACACTGCTTTATGACGCATGCATGGGTGTTTTTAAATATAAAATTTATGAATTATCAATGTCATAACAAAACTGGTGAATTTCTGGATAGCAATTTTTCTAACATGCTATATCCTCGCATCACACGTCCAACTAGAATCACAGCTAGCACACTCCGCCATATTAATTGACAATATTCTTTCTAATAATTTTGATTTTCATATCAAAAATGG